CAGGGCTGGCCCGGGGCCCCCTCAGACCCCGCCGCACCCCCCTGACCCAGCGCTCGGGGCCTTCTGGTGGCTGCCCCGGACAACCCGTCTGGGCTCCCACCAGTCTTTACAGCCCAGGCGGGTTATCTGCACTCTCCGTCCCCCGCCGGGCTTCCTGCCCGCGAGCGAGTCGGGAACCTCCCCCGCCCCCCACGTGTCCTACGGCTGTCACCTCGCCTGTCACCACCCTCGACGACGCTAGGGCTCTTTGTTGGCTGCCTCAGCCCGGGCTCTGCCCCTTTCCCCGCCCCATTCGGCCCGGAGGACTGTCGAACACACCCCCAGAGCCCCAGCCCCACACCACGGGAGCCATCCAGGGCGCTCGGGAGGGCGTTGTGACCTAGACGGGACGCGGGCCTCTGTGGAGGACACTGTCGTCTCTCCTTCCACCCCAAGAGGCAGAGCCCCTCCCCCTTCGCTCCTCCCCGCCCATCACCAGGGCGGCAGCTTCATCGCAGACCATTACCTAAAGCTTCGTTGTTGTTTTTAAAAATCTCTTCTCCCTGCCGCCACCATCAACCACCTCTGCCTCCCCTAAGTCCCAGGCCACCCCTGTCTCCTCCCTGCACTGTTGTGAGGGTGTCTCTAAAAGGCCTTTCTTGGCAGCCAGAGGGATGCTTAAATCATCTATCACAGTTACCTCATGTGCTGCAACCCCCCAAACCTTGGGAGTTCACCATCTTGCACAGTCTTGGCAAGGAAACTGAAATCAACCCTTGTAGCCTTCTCCTTTGACTCTCTCACCCATCAACTTCCTGACTGTTTCTGGAACAAAACATGTTTTCTTCTTGGTGCATGCAGCCTCACTATGAGGGATGCTCTTTCTCCAGCTTGTTTTCAGATCAACTTCTCTTTAGCTGTCCTCAGAATGTTGTGTGACTTCCTCAGAGAAGACCTCCTTGATCTCTTGCAGTAGGGAAGAGGCATTCACTCACATTCACTCATTCATTCAGACAACAAGCCAGGATTTAGGGGAGCCCAGGTTTTGTGGTGGGGGGGGGACGGTGGAGGCGGTGGACGTGAGGTGAGTAATGGATAAACACTACAAAAAAATGTGTCCAAAGAATTCTAAGATGCTTCCTAGTGACAGCCGTGTCTGGCTGACTACACTGTCTGACAGTGAGGGGCTGAGCCAAGGGCTTAGGGTGGGGCCAGGGTGTGTGGGGGCCCCAGTCCTGGTATTTGGATTTTTCACCAGATGCCCTGGGAAAGGTCAGGTGAGTTTCTGACACTGGGGGACCTGGTTCTCATCTTTGTTAATTAAAACATGGCTCAGAACTAAGTCAACTGAAGCCCTTGGTGCAGTTGGGAATCTTGTCTGATTATTTCTGTCATGTAGCCCTCGCCAAACTTGTCACCAGCCTCTCCCCTCTGGCACCTTCACCTGTTCACTGTCCTGCCATCCTCGCCCTTCCCCTCTCCACTTATTCCTCTTGTTCTGTGCCTGCACCCATTTTTACTTCCTGATATTTAAATCCCACCTTGTAACTGCACTTTTCATCTCGTTACCTCCTTATGGCATAACAATAAAAAGGATTTTTTTTT